ATGTCATGTATAGGCAAGTTGCAGGTGCCGAGCCCAGCATACTCACCCCGATACCTCGATACAGGCCTCGGAAGTGTCTTAAACTACATCACAAACGATAAGTATAGCTCTGTTTATACTTAAAATGTTCTCACCTGAAGGATTGAAGATTGAGGTGTGATGCAATTGTTTGACCTTTTGTTGTGCTTGCCTGTAATCGAGCTTTTATAGTGTCCATCGGGTGGCAAAAGACACGGCTTATCATCCCAGCAGCCGCACTTCCCTATGTGCATCAGAATATAGTTAAAGCAGAATATGACACGACGGAAGATCGCTACAAACACACCATGAGCGTCGGTAGCTGGCTCTAGAACAACATAAAGCCAGAATAAGAGTAAGATAAGCCCATCCTGAGTCTAAAGCGGTGTACGCACCGACGCACTTCCATCAGCAACCATATGAAAGGTCTAATATTTCTAGTACCCAAAATTTTCACCGCATTTATCCCTTATTAACTAGCACCCAAACTGCTGTAACCCATCAAAGACCCACTATGATGCGCGTGTATCTTGATTATAATGCCACGACGCCCGTGGATCCTGTCGTTTTAAAGGCATTGCTTCCCTATCTCGGACCACAATTTGGGAATGCTTCCTCGTCCTATGTGCTGGGCCAGACTTCCAAGAAAGCTGTGGCTGTAGCGCGTGCCCAAGTGGCATCCATGCTTGGTGCTTGTAACTCAAGTGAGGTCTTGTTTCTTTCAGGAGGCACTGAGTCCATCAATCACGCTATTAAAGGCACAGCACTGGCAGCAAAGCGAGAAAGTGGACGCAGCCACATCGTCACAAGTTCTGTAGAGCACGTGGCCGTGCTGGAGACGTGCAAATGGCTAGAGACACAGAACTTTCAGGTCACGTATCTACCTGTCGACCAATTTGGCTGCGTGCATGTTGCGGACGTATTGAATGCACTCACTCCACAGACATGCCTTGTGTCTATAATGCTCGCGAACAATGAAGTAGGTTCGCTGCAGCCCGTGGCAGAAATTTCTCAAGCAGTGCAGCGATATGTGGAGGAGAGCGGTAGCCACTTGCCTATTGTCGTGCATAGTGACGCTAGCCAGGCTATCGGCAAAGTTCGAGTTAATGTCCAGGACCTTCAAGTCGATTTGCTCTCATTAGCAGGCCACAAATTCTACACCCCTAAGGGAATTGGTGCGCTCTACATTCGTGAAGGCACTATGATAGATACTATCCTCCACGGGGCGTCGCAGGAGAATGGACGACGCGGTGGTACAGAAAATGTAGCACTGATAGTGGCCTTAGGTCAAGCCTGCGCATTGATTGAGACGAACTTACTGGAATACGCAGTTATCATGCAAGATAGCAGGAAGTTTCTCCTCGAGCAGATTCAAAAGCACTGCAGTCTATCAAACGTCAGCTACCAAGTAAATGGCCATCCAGAGCTTTCACTACCGAACACACTTAGCATAAGCTTTGCGCACATTAACGCGTCACGTCTCCTGGATTGTACGTTGGCTGTGCGTTCTACTTTTGCATGAACGCACAAATTGAACTCATGCTATTATTATATTTCTACGATAGTGATTGAGGAAGATGGTGTATACGCTAGTGCAGGATCGGCGTGTCACGGTCACAATAAAGTCAACGGGAATGACTCAGGCAATCGATCTGAAAATCAAGAGAAAAATGTCACGATTTCGCACGTGCTGGCAGCCATGGACGTGAAACCTGAGTTTGCGAAGGGCACACTACGCTTATCAGTCGGTCGCTCCACCACGCAGGAAGAGCTGCTGTACGCTGCAAACGCTATTCACAGAAGCATTCAGCAACTTGTGGCTTGACATAAAAAGCTGCGTTCATTGCATGTTTTGTCTTCTCTTAATGCCAAACGCCTAATTAAAGTACCATCTCAAGTGATCTAAAGTACAAAGCTCCAAATTTCATTCGTTTTCCAAAGGTTTATACTTGGAAAGGTGCCAGTTATACGCTGAACACGATTCTGGCAGAACATTTAGCTGATCATTTCTTCATTTATTTCTCAGTAGCGCTTCGAGATCCATGCTAGAAGCCACTTTAGGTGCGTGAGCATGTATTTTAGTGCTCGTGTCCACTGCTCGTCATTTCCTAAGGAGATCGGTAGACCACCAATTTTACCACGCTCCACTTTGTACGGAAACTTCAATGACGGTTCTTCTTTCATAGCACGACGACCTGCGTCCTCGACACACTCAAGAAAAAGGATCATGGCTTGATTAAACCCGCGGCGACGAAACATGCCTCCATCGCTGTACAGACTGTACTCTTTTCCGTACATGTTTACGACACGAGAAAAGCTTCCACGCGGCACGAGACGATTGCGTGAAAACTCAAAGTTGGCCCGGTCTGCAATTGTTGCAAGTAACAACACTGCTTGTCCTAATGCAGCGTTGATCTCAACCCACTCGACCGGTTTTAATGGCAACCGCCCAAGTCGTAGCCCGTTAATCGTGCCAAAAAGACCATCGTGCCAGATGTGAAAAACATCGTTACACACGTTATAGCGCTGGAGGCGTCGCAGCATGTCTGATGCATGCACTGCAAAGACACTAACAGACTGGCGTTCATCGCGGCTCAATCCTAATAAATGTTGCAGAAAAGCTCCTTCAGCGAATGTACCATGGATCAACTGCTCAAGATCCATTCCTGTAGACCACAATTCGCGTCTCTTTGCTGTTACTTGTAATGTCTCGTCTTCAATGGCTCTTAATTGCGCATTTAAAACTCGCTCTTCTTCTTGCAATGCAAGAAACTCTGGGTCATCCTGCCACTCGGAGTGATCGTCTTCACCAACAATTTGCGCAGATGCCCCCACTTCAGCTTCAAAATCGGCTATAAAGCGTTCGTACTGGTCTCGTTCATCCTCTAATTCTTTAAGCGCACTATTGAAATGAAACACTCGATAAGAAACGAATACATTGATAAGAAAGCACACTATTTCGACGCACACAGTAAACCTAGACAGCACACCAGCTTCACAATCATGGCAGGTCGGTAGTCGTTTTTTCAGCAATAATGAGCTGCAGAAAGATGACACTAGTGAGCGTAATTACACATTTGGATTCTGCTAATAAGTATTCGTACCTGCAATCAAGCAACTCCTGAAACCAACTAAGATCGCTGCCGTCAATACGACGCCGGCGAGCCAGACGCCTCCGTCGTACACGTCGTTCACATTTTATTCTCTTATCCGTCTGTAAATTCACCTCATCTTCTCCTATGCTCACTGATTTCTCCAAATTGTTAAGATCAGCGTGCGACGCTGCATATACCCATCCTTCGTCGTCACAATTGGGAAGTGAGTAATCGACTTCCCAATCGGAAACCCATAGGTGTGGTTTGTTCAGCAGTCGTGCAGGTACTACATCTGCTATTGTCTGTCCAATATCGCCTCGATTACAGCTTGTATACGTCGCTAGTCCATTGATAGGATCGAGTTCTACCGGAGCCCAAATATCAACGTCGCCGCTATTGTCCACCTGTTGTCGTTCCCACACGTACTCAGGAACAACAGCTGAGCTCTTTTGCTGTTGTTGCTGTTGATTCAAAGAATTCCTTGCTGCATGTGTAAGTTCTTCCTCTTCGTCTGCATCTGTGTTCTCCCCATTATCCGTGCCCTCTGTAAGCCGAGGCCTTTGATCTTCTTCGCCTTCTTTACTGTCTCGCTGCTCACACTGTTCCGCAGAGTGCTCGTATGGAACAGTCCGCAATTTCATAATCTTTTCCTCAATAGACACAGGATGATGTTGAAACCTGAGCAGTGCACCACATTGGTGACATGTAAAGAGGCTTTTGCCTTCCATAGCGACACGTCGGCCTCGTGGCACGGGGCTCTTGGCGTACGGCGAAAATGAAGCTCGAACTGAGGAAGGAGCTGGAGACAGAGACATTGAAGATGCTGATGTTGCTCCAAGAGCACTTGTAGAGGCTGGTGGCCGCGATAGCGATGTGATGATCAAAGGCGGCTGAAGCGAGCTATTGGTGCTCATTGGGTAGGACTGGTCGAGCAAATGAGCTCGAATAGACCTGCAGATACCGACTGCGGTAAAATAATCTTGTAAAGACTACCAAGCGATACCACTGACGTTTGAATTGAATTCTACTATCGCACAAACAGGGCTAGACACCCGCCGTGTTTCCGACGCCACGGAAAGTCGAGTATTCACCTTACGCAATTGAACGATTGGCTCCATTAAACGCTGATTGGGTTAAAAAGAAACGGCTACGTAAAGGTACATTTACAATTGTAAACACGCTATCAACCTCACATGATATTACATTTGCTATCCTCTACGGCAGTCCCATGCTGTTGCTGCTGCGATGGTTCCTCCTCTTTTTTAACCAGCACCGGGGAGTTAGGCCTTTTAGGGTTATTATCATTAGGAACGGACTGGTCTGTGCACTTGAACTTGGCATTGCCTTCCGTCATTTTTGTAAACGGATCATGGGCCTCATCCTCCTGCCGCAGCTGGTGCTGCGACGCGGCAACAACCTCTATCGGCACACCCATCTTTGTTGCCTCCAATTTCATCTGCTCACGCAGCACTGCCTTTTTCACTGCATCGTGCTTAAACGGCACTATAGTAACCAAAGTATTAGCTTTCGTCTAAAATCATGGAAAATGTTTACGTACCAAAAGAGTCTTCAACTGCATCAGCATCTAAATCCGCAGGTTTGTCCCATCGATCCTCGCCAGTCTCTGTATTGTGATAATAGGTCCGACCACGCTTCGATAAAAGCACTGCCCAGCGTTTACGTTGCTTTGTCTTTTTCTCAACTGCCGTTATACCTGTGCGATCAAATGCCACAGTCGCCACTTCAATCTCTTTGCCATCTGCTGTTACTACAACCTCGTACGGACGTCCACACAACGTGCATTTGCCCAGCGTTAGCATGTCTTCCTTTGGTACATTCACGTGACACCCTTCGCACTTAATAAAGCGCTCATTCAGAGTCCCAGTCGTAGCGCCGTTAACGCCTCGCGTTGCCATTGTCACTCGGACAATGGCTGATTAAAGAAAACTTGCGATTAACCGGTTTTACTGCAGTATGGAGACAGGACACTGCAGTTTCGAAAGCAACCCATTAGTGGTTATACTAAAAATTGCTCTATTAAGACGTGACCACGATGATTGTGGATGCTATGCTGTGCGTTCTTGACACCATCTCGCTATCTCTACTATGCTTACAATAGATTTACAATATGGACAGGTGGGCAACGAACAAGATGGATGAATCTTTAATAAATCCTGTGGCCACGCACTTGGCTGGGTCGGTCGTCAATCCAGCTGTACTGAGCTTCTTGCTATGGGATCGTCTCAAAAATCTTACTCCACAACGCGCACGTGATCTGTCTCGGTTGGTGGCTTCAGCAATCGCCAATGCATTAGGAGTGCTTAGCGCCCAGCGTGGCCAGCAGCTGAGATCAAATACCAAGCGACTGCGAGATGAGTTTGTACAAGCCGCCAGCTCTTGCATCGGTCGTGATGTTGTGCTCAATAGTTGCGCAATGGCAGCTAAGGTAGCGCAGGCGGTTAGTACGCCAGAATCGAAGGCAGCTACACAGCAAGCGTTTTTAACACTACAGTCTGTAGTGGACTTTTTCGCTAGCGATGATGGCCATCGTATAGTCTCAAGTATCAGCGAGTGTATTTGCAGTGCTTGCGAAATGGCGGCGTCACCTGAAGCTTCCATCTTTCTGGCGGAGTTAGCCACAAACCTACTGCATACTCTTGAAAGCGAAGAACTACGGCGTTCAAACTCGCAGCAAAAAGAAAAAACTGTGAAGGTGAATGATCGTAATTATAAAGATGACATCAAGAATGACCGAAAGATGGATGAAAAACACGCGTACTCGCCTTCGTCTTCAGTTACGGACACACGTTGGAGCAATGATACGGAGTCCGGGCCGTCGGCGCCAGGTACACCTATGACAGGTATGTATGCGTCTCAAACGTCGGCAGACGGACATATACCTTTATCATTTTCTGCTGAAAATAATAGTAGCTACCGCTCGGCTCGAATTGAGAAAGAGGTACTGCTTAAGATGGGCGTTGACTCGAGTATGCTTGTTGAGATCCAGCGTGTTCTTGATGTTCTTGCTGCGGAGGAGGAAGAGAAAGAGTTGCGTCGGCGTGAAGAAGCCGCATACGTCGCAAGTTTGCTTGTACCAAAGCCGACCGAGGAAACGGCAGTGAAACTCGATCATGGTATTACATATGCTTTCGGCAGTGATGAAAACGAGGCAACTGATCATGCTGCTCAAAATGAAGACGTACAGTGCCCAACGCCTATTCTTCCTGTTTGGCACAAAGAACCCGTGCGAGAGGCACTTCGTCGTCGCCACATTCATGCTGAAGCCTTATCAGAGCAACGTGACCCTGCTGAGCGACAAGCTTACGAAATGGCAGCAGTGCTGGCTCAACGCCACATCAAGCATGGTGAATTGCAACCTGCCGATGTTGCAGCCTGTCGAGTCATTGCCAAAATGCTCGTTTACAGTGTGGCGTCGATCCTGCTTCTGATGGGCTTTCTGCTCATACGCAAGCTGTTTATGTGAAGGCATTTTTATTGTTATTATCATTTATAAACTCGTAATATACCACCCACTTTACCGCATCTCATGTCATACTTTGCCTTTGATGAAGCAATTGCACGCTATTCTCACTTGAAACTTCGTGCTTCAACGCTGCAATGGCGTCAAGAACATCTCGAACAGGCTCAAAGCGTTGATCAAGCTCACGCTGGATAACAGCGGCGGAATGACCCATACGCGTCCAGATTCGCACTTGGCGGTAATAGTCATCGTATATCTCGGCTGCGCACACAGGATGAAATTTTTCGCCGGCACTATTGGCCAGTTCATTCAGATGCTCAAGACCAAAAGATTGATTGATCAGCACGCAACATCGGCGTGGATCTGATAAGCCATCTCCGGAAGTCATCGTTGAATGTACCGCATTGATAGTAGCTGCAGTTGTTGGGTAATACAGAAGTCTAGGGAGCTTTTCAGGATGCTTTCCTCTTCGTGTAGCAGATGCCTCGTTTCGTTTATCAGAAGTCTTCGCCTCATTGCTATTGTATTTTGTCGTATTTTCAGCCTTTACCTGCTCCTGTGTCGTGTTTTTGACTTCTGTGGCCTCACCAATTCTTTCTGCTGCCTGAACAATTTTTTCTGTCTTATACACCGCATCAAGCACAGGATCATCGTGACACAATGCATCTGCCAGTACACGTTCTTGTTCCTCTAGCCCTTGCCGATGTCGCTTCTCCTCTTCTTCTGCTTCAATTTTGGCTTTTGCCACAGCAGCGATTTCAGCACGCTCAGCCTCCTCAAATTCCACAGCCTCTGCTGGAGTAAGGACGGCATAGCCATGATGCTCTAAAACTAACTTTAGCGGCGTAAAATTGTGTGGTGTGACGTCCAGAACTAATGTCTTTCGATCATCCACAAAGCGCCCGCACCATTTCAGCACCTCAATCAAGGGAGGTGCTTTTGAGTCGATCAGCACGTTCACCTCCTGCTTAAGACGCATTCGTTCACGCAGTGTCACGAATGATTCTCCACCAAGATCACATGGCTGACGAGAGTCTCCTAAAAGCACACAAAGACTTCGAAATGGTCTACGGAGAGCCAGCGCTGTCTGCCGCTCAACAAGTCGATAGGCTTGTGAAGCATCTTCGATTGTGAGCTCTTCGTTTATTGACGCAGGCGTTGTTGGCGATATAACCAACAACTCAAACGCTCGATCTTTTAATGTAGCATCAGCCTCAATGCACAATATGTATTTACCCGTAGTTGTGCGCAGTAGAAATGATTCATCAATATGCAAACCGGACCATGAGTGACGAAAGCCGTATTCTCCCGTAGGTACACTCCAACAACACGGAACTCGACCCCCTAGCGACCACTGTGCTACGAGATGTCGATGGCGTTCAAGATTTTCAAACACTGGAAGGATATGAGCTCCATATCGTGCCATAGATACTTCAGTAACGTCACTATCTTGCCCTGCAAGTCGAATAATTCGTTCCTTAAGTCCATGCAAAGGTGGTTCTAGTCCTCTGTACACGTTTTCCGAATACTCTGATGCCGCTTTCCCGCTGGCCCGAACAATATTTAAAAGTTGCGTTACAATCATAAATCCTGCCAGCATTGCTCGAGTAGTGAATAAGCTCATAATTCGCAGCTGCAACGCTGCATCAGCGCTTGATGTTTCAGGGTGAAAAACTCTAAGTATGTGCGTTGGATCGAGATCTATTGCTTGTGCTACAAGCTCTGGCGCTCGCGTTTCCCAAATGCAACTCGCAAGAAAATTGTGCATCGAGTATTTGAACATAAAGTAAAGCAAATCTCCAGTGACGGGAAGCGTCGGATCTAGAAGCAGATATGCCTCATAGGTTGAGAGACCAAGCACACCGGTGGAGCATACACCAAGTAGTACGAGCCTCGCAGGTTGTGCAATGCTGTGTAGCGATACACGAGCAATTCGAAGAAGAACTTGCAGCTCGCGTGATAAAGTCATGGCATGGTGATCGATCACAGAGCGACCAGGAAATTCGTGTTCGGGCTTCCAGACTACATCACCTAGTCGTTGTTCGTTATGAAGATTCAAGGTATCGTTTGTCTCATTCAGCTTGCTAAAGGACGAAACGATTGATAAAAATGGATAACGAAGCGGCTTGAGTCGGTGCAACGAGGTATTCGGGCTCTCAATGCCGTTACTAGCGAGCCAGACACGCTTCAACGAGCGTCGCATGGTAGCTACTTTTGGATAACTTGGAGATCATAGTAAGGATCAAGTTTAAGAGGGGATTTATCGCTGATGCGATATTAGAGTCAGTCTCTTTGATAGGTTTTACGACCCGGTATTACCCGTCAGGAAAGTGGCTGAATCTCATGGATGCCGGATATATAGGAACAATGGATTCTTCAGATCTAACTCTCCGTCTATAAACCTGACAAAGATAAGATTTTCTCCTTGGAGAATAAAAGTGGTTAAGGTAAAAATTTCAAGACATGGTTGCTCCCTCATGCCGCATATTTTTCAAAACACTTTAACTTTATCAGGATCTTCAAGACTGGTCATCTCATCTCTGCGATCACATTTTATTTTCGCTTTGATAAGACGCATCTTACATACTCAAAAACTCACGAATATACTCACGAAGTCATTATGGTCCAGCTTTTTCACCATCAAGCATTAAATCACTTAGTTCGCAGCAGTTTCACCACCCGTCATTCTTATACAGAGGTTTCTACTACATCGCAAAAAATTTGTGATACAGTCCCCGGTTTTGTCCACCCGGATGTGTTCGCAAATACAGCCAGAGATTCGGTTCATCACCTGATCCATAAGTCTATGTCACTGTATGGTACCGTACATGTACTCAGAGCAAAGTCTGATGGATCACTGCGATTCTTAGCATCATTCGATTGTTTCCCGACTCAAGCCATCTATGAATTCTTTTGAGCTACTCAACTTTCTACGAACAGCATGCCCGCTCGGCGCCTCGATAACTATTCTCATCACGCTCATCACTTGTGTCATTATTGTCAAAGCGAATGACATTTACGTCAGTGGTCTAACGTGGCCATTTTTATCGGACATGGGTCGAGGTAAGGCACAAGACCATGAGGGATACACTTTGGAAGTGGAATGTTTAATGGTGATATCTTTATACAGACTACCCCGCATACTATGTATTCACCACTGGTCTCACGACTGCTGCTATCCTTCTCGTAATCACGTGGACATTTAATTGGCAGTACCACATGTCAACGCTGCCGGGAGATGCCAAGAGACATAGCACGCTGTCCACTATTAGCTGTATTGCTGGTATTTTAGCTAATTTGGGCCTCCCCGTCCTGGTACGCAAGATCAACATGATTGTGTCGACTATGAAGTTGTAATTCTAACACCTTACCGTTACATGCAGGCTTTCTTTGATACATCCAGATACTCTCAACTCCACTCTTTTGGTGCTCAGTGGTTCTTTTATCTAGAGACCCTTGCTATCCTTTTAAACGTACGTAAGGAGTCGGCATGATACTTAACCAGATAGATCTAATATCTGGCTATTATGCAGACTATTGTCAGCTATAAATTATATCAAGTGCTAACGGGATTAAATACGGACATGGAACACTCATGTTCAACTACGGGAGTCAAGCTTGAAAGAAGAAAAAAAACACTGACGATCCAAGTGATTTTCTTTTCGCTCTTTTTCATGGCATTTCTCATTTATATGCCGATCGGAAAGACCTTTTCACCTCCAGCGCCGCGTCTTTCGATCGACGATTGCATTGATAAAGGACTAGGCGAGGAATATTGCGAGAAGACTATGCGTCTCAACTCGACGTCAACGATCCTTTTCGATAATGGTAAAACTTTGATGTCAGCATATATAAAACGTCTTTACTAACAATTTTTTTTATTCTCTTTCTTAAACAGCATCAACGTATGAGTCAAGTCAAATGCGAGCAGCTGCACAACTTGTTTGCATTCTTACTCTTGTTGGTTATTCAGCTTCATTTATTACGAACGATTACGACGATACAGAAGGGCAAGACTTTACTCCAGAAGCCAAAATTATGGTGCTCTAGATAATGAAGCAGGATCACTTTGGTGAATGTATATGAGGGTTAATATTAAGAAAGGAACAGGTTTTAGCACTGATAAAGTTACTTTGTTGAAAACCTAATCTATTATAAGGTTTTGAAAAAACAGCTGTGTCATCGAATTTTCTGGTACGTGCGACAATAGAATGACCAGATTGCTGTATAGAAGCTATCCAGAGGAAATGAAATCCTAAGGATTTCAATCGACTGCTTGAGAGTACGGACAATCAGCCGGAGGTTTGATCTGATCTTGAGGGATAAATCTGATCTATGCACATAGACAGTACCAAGTTTAAACATCAACGATTTGTATAGCAGCATTTTATGCGGCTTTTAGTCGCAAGGTGCGAAGTTTACGAGTAACATGTTACACTAACATGTGCTACGAATGTTGCAGGTGAATGAAGACCTCTCAGAATCTCAGTCTTCTTGTGTCCAAACCAACACAATTTTTGTTTTTTGCCTATTCAGGATCGATATTACAACTAAAGGGTCTGACCCTCCGATAGTACAGTATGATGAAGATTTTAATTAGATCGCTCATGTCTGGCGATACCATGTCCACATAGACTCTAGTTTGGCTGATTAACATGAAACTTCCACCTCAAAACACCCCTTTTGCAGATTCTGAGCAAAGAAGAGTGAAACACTGAAAAAATATAAAAGTAATTTTTGTAGAAATTCTAACTATATCATACCACAAGTTTGAAGCAAATCTCATGCTTTTTATTTTAACTTTTTTTCTACCCGACATATAGTGAGGGTAAGTACTAAATCCTCCAAGCTATAAGATTGATCTACGCTTCACAGAGTGGAGATTGTCGTTAAGACGAGGCATTGATCATCGCCTGTCAGATACTAAGGAATTGGGCAGATTCCATATTACACCTGATGTAATTATGATTACTCAAACTTTCGGTATCAATGAGATCCGAGGAGTGTTACAGTATAACCGTGAGAGATAGTCAAGTGTATGTACTTATTGACTACTGAATATAATTATTCATATATACTCTTGGAATAGCAGAGCTCGGCCCGCTTCTGGAAGGTTTGCGCGAAACTTTCCCTAATGCGTTTGTAAGCGCGGAATATGAGGGTCGAAGGTTTCTATGTGTAAAGTGCGCGGCAATCCCGTTGCATTTAATAGAGCATGTAGTCAACCCCCTGGCAGAGTCGCAGAAAGAATGTATCCTCTGCGAGCTCGAATATTTGTTTACAGGAAACATGGACTAACAAAACAAGCTTTTGTCTAAATTTTACCTTGATGGGATCAGGGAAGAGGTGGCGAAAGGGTCGGAAGCTGTAATGACTCGCCAGGAGACACTGACCAGCTATAAGAATGCGCTGGTGAGACACATCTACGCCACCAGACACTGGTACAGAAACTGAAAGCTCCCACCGTGAGACTATGGTGTTGAACGCTCACGCCTTTGTAAACCGGGACAAAGAAAATCTCCTCCTTTGATAAAGGAAGTTGACGTCTCATGGATGTGACCTCGTATCCAGCGAAGCCACAATGCATCGCGCTTGCAAAGGATGCCACACGCAAAAACGGGCACTCATGTGCGACTGGCGTTTCCTAGTGACACGATTTGAAGCAACAGATATCGTACATTTTCGCGCTGTTTCATCAAGCATATTGGGTGTGCTCGGATTGTGTACCCGCCAAGGGAGGCGAGATTTGGCGAATTGGATAGGAGCTAAGAACTTTCCATCGCTACGATTGCGTCCGACCCTTTCCCGGACGGTAACGGATACCATCTTCATAGAGGGTCTCCGAATGGATACGGCTCGCATAGAGGACTTAAGTGTCGCACTCAATGAGGCGCACAACCTCCGTGCCGCAAGGGCAGTATGGGGTGCTGAGAATGTGAGGTCTACGAACGCGCCAGAGGTGATGAATCTCAGTCTTAGCGAAGAAGAAGGTAGAGAGATATCCCTAAGTTGCAGAGATGTCCTACTTAACTCACTCATGTTTCATCCGCGATAGAAAGAAGCATCTTCGCCTTGCGTATTCCCTTCGCTTTGGGTTGCAAGGTAGCTATTATCTATTGTCTCTTGTGTCAAGTCCCGTGGAAAGTTAAAATCTCATGTCGAATCCTGTGGAGCGGAAGGGCTAGGCCCTGAAGATAAGAAAAATTGACCCATTCTTGTCACGAGGTGGAGGTACTGCTGAGTCACAACCATGTGACGGGTTCATCGTGTGGAGCAGCTTAGCTGCACGGGCTATGGGTTTGAAAGATTCCTCATTTGTGACTGAGTTTGTCTTGGGGATGCAAGCCTTCCCTCAATACATCGAGTATATATGATCACAGAGCAAAAAGAATAAGATGTTGGGGGTTCGCGCAAATAATTTATGGACGGCGAGATCACCGAATTGTTACGGCTGGTATTAGAGGAGCTGAGCTCGTCTACAACAGTGATGATTATATTTTAGGCAACTCGAAGAGCACTGAGTACAAGGAGTGGGAGGGCTTTCCTCAAGAATCCTGCTGATCATTTCAATTTTTGTTTGTAAAATAGTCTGACGTGATGACGAGAGATTCAACGCACGTGTTACTGGAGGGCGTCATGGAGTTGACCTCGTTCCAAAATCAGAGTTTACGTCGCACAGCAATGAATCTTACTATAGGAGCACTGACACGTCATTAATGCTTTCTTACGTCCGAATAAGGAAACGAGATTTGTAAGCAAGAGTAAACTTTCAAACTCGGCACCAATTTCTTGTGTGAAAACGGCTGACGACAAGTGGCAAAACGTGCAAGCTTGTATAAGCTACATGCAGCCATTACTTCGACGCAAACACCGATTCCTAGAAAAAGTGAATAGATTGGCATGTCCAGTGCCCTCGATCTAGTTGATGGGTATGATCAAATGCTGACGATGACAGCGGTATCCCTCCTACCGCGATAAAAACTCCGAGCGGGATAACCTGGGATGATTGATATTCAACAGAAAGTGTCATATGCACTAATGACACTTATCGTCTCGTGAACCAGCTGTTTAAATCACAACGAAGCTATGCACAAACGTATTCCGACGATGTATCCGTCCCCATACCGCGAGGTCAAATCTGAAGCCCCGATTTGCAACTTGCTAGCGGCGCTCGTGAGCCTGCGCTCAAGAAAGTTATTAGCCAACAGCAGCGTGTTTTTTTGCCTCGAAGAAATTACCTCCTTGGTTGCTTCATTAGGAAGCAAGGCGTGTGGGCAGGTCCTTCCAAGATGTAGGCTGCTGTAGATTAGCCAGTTCTTCTGTCTGAATGAACTTGAGAAATTGGCCTGCAAAAAATCATTCTATCCCAGCATGGTTCCACTTTATAGGCATTTACAGTGGCACCTCATGATGAGAACTTTAAGAACACAATCTTGTACGAAGTACATTGTACCCTTTTGGATGGCTACTTCAAAAGATAAAAATACATGCTGCTAGATTAGCTTTATGCATTAGTAGTGATTAGATACGCAGACATGTCTGCATGTATACAATGTGTCAGAGGGTTTAAACCTCGCCGCATGCGACGCCTTTTTCCAATTCTGCCTGTCCCCACAGATTATTAATAGCTCACTGGTATAACATTTTCCACAGGCGCGTCCAGTAATGTTGTCAATGTGATCTCTGTGGACCGTCTGAGGAAAGTAGTTCACTTTGCTGTTATCAACGATATTGTGACAGGTGAGGATATAGCCCAGCTGCTTCTTAACAAAGTTTTTTTGCCTAACATGCCTTCCTGGTGATCACTGTTGTAAATCGAGATTCGCACTACACAGCAAAGTTTTGAAAATTTATTCAAGTTTCTAGATTGTTACTAAAGTATACTATAAAATGGCTTGACAATGCAACTAAGTGGCCCCGGTCTTGGTGGAAGAAGGGTCCACAATACGATTTGACTTCTCATATTAGACCGGCTACACTTCGTATCATGACGCAAATTTTATGTGGACGGCATTGCTGATCATACACCGAGTGTGGATCTATGGCTGATAGACGTAATTTTACAAGCTGCATGCTAATTGAAGGCAGGAGGACCACGCATACAATGTAGCAGAAAATAGGTGTATTGAGCACGGTTGATCAATTTAGACATACGGTGTCTGAATCTATAAAACTAAGTTGTGGAAATGCTACATCGGACCGCTAAATCGGAAGAAAAGCGAAAACATCATGTGTTCACGTGAGCTTAATGAGGCTGTACCGCGATCCCACTCTTCCAAGCCAAACGGATATTATGTGCTCTATTGTAGGCAGAGTAGCGCTTCCATTATCCCCTGTAGCTAATCTACTTCTGCTCTCGAGCAGCGACACGGTTCTGAATCGATGAAGAGATTACAAGCCACGCGTGCGGTTGTATAGATTATTTTATTCCTGCCCAGTTATGAACGCATGCCGAGATCCTCATCGAGAGTCGACGTGTCGCCTATAACGAGAGAGCGCTAGAGGCAGCCTCGGGGGATCGTGTTCCGGTGACAGCGCTCGACAAAAGGCATGAGATGCTCCAGATTCACGTAAAGTGTTTGGTAGATCGGTCGCTTCATGAAGTCTGTAACCAGTGTGTGATGGGGTAAATAGGGTGCCCTTCTTTTAAGAAGTCATGGAGAATTAAGGTTCCACTTTGGCAAGATAATTTTGTTGCCGTTGCTGCTTTCGACCTGACGCGCCCAGTGCCTGTATTTATCGTTTCTAATGAAGGCTCACCCGTCGCAAAGCAATCTCTCTTAGAAGGTGTGATCCGAGCTTTTTGTAAGCTCGACCTTTGTTCGGTAGCTGTTTCAGCAGTTACGTGAAGACGAGCGGGGATTCTGCCAGATACCATTGGAGATGATGAAGTTCCACCTCGGTGACTGAGTCGTGCTTTGTGCTTCGTAAAGTCGGCGCTCTAGTCGGACTTTCGCATCACTATAATTAAATTGTTAAGCGGTAACAACGTGTTTTTGCATCCAGCTACAAATTCTTTTCGGTTCACTGACCAGCATATAGTCCCCAAC